GTGAAATTTAATGGAAACGTCAGCTCAACTCATATTATTGTGGGAAAATTCTACTACCAGTCCTTAATCAACTTAGACGAAATAGGGTGAATACATCTCATTACATTGAAGTTTGTACGTCTGAATTGACTTACAATGTGACTGGACACAAGACTATTCTCGGCCCAATCCAGTCAGGAAGAAGGTTTTCCGGCCGAATGCGGACTAGCCTCGAAGTGAAAGGGACGGATGGAAAGAATCACTGTTCTTCGTCTCACTTTACTTCCGTCGGAAGGTCTACTTGGAGCTCAGCCTGAGTGGTTTCAAACTGTCTTAGATTAGAGCATACTTGAATGATTTCTTATAAAGTGAAGAAAGTGTAGTTGACTACCACCAACAGAGACTGATCGCTGATAATTCAGCCTCGAGTGCACCTTTGCAGATCTGTACTTTTTGCTCCAAAGTCTCGGATACAAAAGTAGGAAACAAATTAAAACGATTCTATCACGTTGAAGCTGTTTGCTGTCTGAGATGATAGTTATTCTACAAATTGGTCCTGACACCTTCCAAAAATGTCTTTCAGAGCACAGGCCAAAGTCCAGCACGTGTGCACTGAAGCTGGAAGACGGCAACGTCCACATCGACTAACAATTCAGGCAAATCCTCACTCGGTGTCAAATTCAACTTGTCCACGATCATCTTCGAACAAATATTGTGCTTCAAGTTGAGCACCAAAATACGAGGCATGAAATAAGAATTAAACTATTTTCGAACATATTCGCCAAAATATCACGGCCAGGACATTATCGGACTTTTTTATTGTTGAAAGTGGATAAAACTTGTCGCTTCTACACCGAATTCCACTTGGCTTTTGCATGTATGCCACATTTCCTTGTGTGCTTAAAAAAGTTGTATTTTAATTAGCTTCTTGCTTTTAAATTGTTCAGCTCCCTTTCGTTTCGAGTAAAGTTGTCGGATCTCACCAAAAATCTACGGCAGATTCCTCTTGGCCAGCCATAGTTTGGTTTTATTGGTTGGCAGGTTGGGACAATCCTCTAGACAACCTTCTTGGGTTTTTGTGAAAACGTGATGTGGTCTAGATTGTCTATGACATAGACCTCATCACAGCTGGGTAGCATTCACACAACTACCCCGGGCTGTAATCACATGCAGATTGTGATTTAATTAGTTCAGGTGATAAATCAGTCTAGAAAGAATGATACTACTTTTACACACTACTTATACAATCACTTCCATTGAGCATATGTGTCTCTCCTACCACCGATTCAGAGACCGAACTTGACGGCCTGCCTCCGGGCTCCAGCTTGCATTACAGCCTCGCGACCAAGAAGCCAGGAGGAAGGATAAGCTTTGTATCCGAGCTGACGGGTTCTCTTCTGTCGACGACAACAGGTAGGCGGTCTAATTCCTCACAGACATGAGCATTCGTGCATCAGTCAGGCCTGCCAAACAAATTTCCAAAGTTTTACTGCTAAATGAGACCTTTGCCTATTTCTTGCCTTCCACGACATTCAAGATCTTTGCGCCGCCATCGTCTGCCGGAATTCTGGAACCTGCATTGTCCAGAAGGGAGTCGGCATCTGCATCTGCGCACCTCCATTTTCGGGTAGTCAATGTGAACAGAGTGAGTGGCACAGGGAGCCCATTTAAACAATAAAAATAGCTGGTAAGGCGTTTTTGCTGTATCACATTGCGCCATTGGACATTGTTTGGAAGGTCAACTGGATCACCTGGACGACCTAAACCAAAGAGTTGGTTGGGAAGACTTTCATTTCGTATGAAAGTGCATGAAGAAGAGATGCTAAGGTCAATCTTACCAGAAGAGGACAGCTGAATTCCGTTGGGGGCTGAGCTTTTGCCCATCATATGATAGACATCATCAG